CCTTCACTGCTTAGTACAGTTAAGCTAATACTAATGTCTTACTTTTTTCTAATGCTTAGGTCTCTCTACTTTCTAATATTTAAATCCTGGCATAAAACTATAGCATCCTACCATTCCAGAACAGCTCCTGTGGTCTAAATACGTATAAAGCATGCCCTTTGGAACTCCAGAGGAAAACATGCCCTGCTGTGACACCTGTCAGGATGACAGCATAACCTAGCTCAAACCTGTTTTACTACCACTCTGGCCAGTGTGGTCCAGTGGTTAGAGCATTGACCAGCACACTGAAGGGTCACAGGTTTGATTCCCGGTCAGAGGAACATACCTGGGTTGCAGGCTTGATCCCTGGCCCTGGTCTGGGCACGGGGAGGCAACCAATCAATGCTTCTCTCTCTCCCTCCCTCCCTCCCTCCCTCCCTTCCACTCCCTGCCACTCTATCTAAAAATCAATGGAAAAAATATCCTTGGGTGAGGATTAACAAAAAAAACCCTGTTTTACTAGCAACACAAGGAAACATGCCAGTTCTCCTGACTCCTCATCTTCACTAAAGCACATAGGGGACTCTCTCATTGTTTGCTGTTTCTAATCTTTATTTTAAAAGAATCTAACCTGGATATTATTTGAGGGCAGGCTTATCTAAATGAAGGGCATGACCAACCCACAACATAACAGATTTGATAAAACAGTGATGCGTTTCATCCCATTCCCTTTTCCCTTTCCGGTGGCCTGCCAGTTCACTGCGAACAAGGATCGTTTTCCTCTTCCTGACTCCACAATCTACCAGAGTAGACACTTTGCATTTATGAAATAAACGTGTTTTTAGGACCTACGCAGTGAGCCAAAGGGACTTGCTGCATACACAATGCAGACTCTTGCCATCCTAGCTTCCATTATCATGCTAAAAAGGTGACAGGTACAGCAATGTGGCTCTTTCACGCAAGTAATTTAGGAACTGAGATTATAAATGATCTTGGAGAACTGTTTCCAGTTAGTTAAAATGATACTCGGTTAACTTGCTAACATATAGCCACATAATCTTACATTTCTGGCTCCTCTAGGGACCAGCAAAATGGCCCTTTTCTTTTTTTTATCCTCACCCAAGGACATTTTTTCCATTTTTTGTTCAGATAGAGTGGGAGGGAGAGAGAGAGAAACATCGACGTGAAAGGGACACATCGAGTGGCTGCCACCCGCACGACCCAACCAGGGCCGGAGATAAACTGCAACCGAGGTACGTGCCCTTAGTGGGAACCGAACCTGGGTCTCTCGGGACCACAGGCCTACACTCTAACCACTGAGCCAAACCGGCCAGGGCCAAAATGGCCCTTTTAAAGTGTATTTTTTTAATCTGCTGTAGATAATTTTGAAACTGCAATGAGGCATTTTCATTGGCACTAGTAGAAAAAAATACACTACAGGTTATTTCAAACAAAACAGCAGCCACCTTAAAGCATGCCTTGTGGACACAAAAGTACAAATGGGAATACATTTCACTGACATTTTCCATGTCAGTGGACTCATATTAAAGTGATTCCCTATGGATGCAAGCACTGGAGGAAACATTGAGGGTGTTTTCAAAACAAGAATCTTATTGCCCTCCCAATTATTCTATTGTAAAAGTTTGTCCAAGTACTTGCTAAATGCCTTAAACACACCTACTGATTCATTCAATCGCTCAGAATATTTACTGAGCATATGCTATATGCCAGAAACTATTCTAGGTACTAAGGATACAATGCAGAGCAAGTTATTCAAGGAGCTTATAGTTTTAGCCTGGTCAGGCAAAAATAAATAAATAAACAAGTAAACACCACAAAAGATGAGGACAGAGCGGTGAAGAACAAATCGACATTACATTGGAAAATAATGGAGATAACCTATTGTGACACAGAATACTGCTTACCTGATTCCACCTTCTGATTCTTTGGTTTATGACTAATGCTCAAGTTCAAAGAGCCTCAAAGAGCTGAGCAGGTGTGGGGCAGTGGTTGGAGTGTAGGTCCGTGCAATGAAGGGTCTCAGGTTCTATTCCCGGCCCTGTCAGGGCACGTTCAGGAGGCAACCAACCAACGTGTCTCTCTTGCATAATGTTTCTCTCTCCTTCCCACTCTAAAAATCAATGGAAAAAAATATCCTCGAGCCTTTTATTTGTATTAAATTCCAAAAGCAAATGATGACTGTGTTTTTTAATTGGCCACCTGCATCCGCGATTTAAAATCTGCTGGAGAAAACGAAGGATGCCCTTTGGAAAAAATGTTTCTCCATATGTTCACACAAAATGAATTTTTAAAATAATTTTTAAAATTAAGAATCTTATGTAATGTTAATTTTGAAACTAAAAACTTAATGTGGAAGTAAAATTTAGTAATCCCGGCAGAAATATTCTGTCTTAATAATGCACTTCTTTCTACAAACAGGGGAACCCTGCCTATGAGAAATATATAAGACCACTATTACAAAGCTGGAGATCCAAGCTATGAAATAATCGACAGCATTCAAGAGGCACCACTCTGTGATGATGGTAATATGGCATATATAATCATTAAAATTTTAAAGTACATACATATGTATTTTTTAAAGAGAATCATTATCGTCTAGAGACAGTCTGAAGTGAATGAAATATCTGTGGTTTGAATGAAATATCTGTGATTTACTTCAAAATAATCCATGAGAGGAAAAGGGGAAGTGAACAGTTGTTGCAGTTGGTCAATGGGTACACTGATGTTTAAACTATTCTCTCTTCTAACTAGGTTTGAAGTTTCCCACAATGAAACACAGTAGCACTATCCAATTGTAGCAACTATATGCCAGGGTTTTGCTTCAGATCTAGCAAAAGCCAACAAACTCATTAGTGATCATCTGTGTCTATAGCTCATATTTATCCAAGGCTTAAAAGGACACACATGTGCACACACACAAGCCTTCTCCAGAAGTGCCTATACTCGGTGTAACCTAAATAAAACGCCCAGCTCGAAGTATCGATTTTTTTTTAAAAATCAACTCTTCCACAGAAAATTAAAACATCATAAAAGACATAACTGTCTCAAATTACCCAAATATACTCAAGCTACATTTTTCATATCATTTTCAGTTCTATAAGCATATAAGACACTCAAAATTTAATGTCACCAGACAAATTAAATTGCAAAATCTCTCAGCTGGCTATTTTTCCTAATTTACTCATATAATCATTAGTTATTAATAGTTAATAAATCTGTGAAAATTTACTAAAAGCAAACTTATCTCCAGTAAACTGGACAAGGAAGAGACCTCACAAGTTTTAGCTTTTAAAACCCTGGAAGGGTCCAGCCACTGTGGCTCAGAGGTTGAGCGTCGACCCATGCACCAAGAGGTCGCCGGTGCGATTACCAGTCAGGACACGTGTCCAGGCTGTGGGCCAGATCCTTAGTAGGGGGCATGCAGGAGGTGGCCAGTCGATGTTCTCTCTCATCAATGTTTCTATCTCTCTCTCCATCTTATTTCCTCTCTCTGCAAAATCAATTTTAAAAAGGGGGATAAAAAGGTAAAGATTCTTTAAAAAAATAAAATAAAACCCTGGAAGAGCAAATATTATTCCCATTTCCATACCTGTTTTCAAACCAAATCATTTTATCTCATGTTCACCTCAGCTAACTTAATACATAAGTGGCTGGGATGGTTTTGTGAAAACACTAATCAATTTGACCTACGAGACAATTTTCTAAAAAGATAACTTCATACTAGTACATTTACTGAAACCACAGTAACCTGCCAATAAATTAAGGGATTTTAGCTTGAAGATGGTGAAAATGGGGTAATTATAGGTTTCTGAAGGTTGGGCATTAGTCAAATCTTAAAATAAATTTTCTAAGACCTGGGCAAAAATGGATGAAAGTACGTGTTTTCACCTTCCTTTCAGGTGCAGAATCTAACAGGAGTGACCTGCCCCAGGGCACAGTCTTAGAACTTCCCTCCCACAGAACTGGGAAGACTTCAGACACCTCCTTTTAGAAGGTGTTCCAGCAAACGAGGAAGTCTCACTATAGTTAACATAATCCTTCCTGTGAGGAACTTCCAAGAAATAGAATCAAATGAACGATGCAAAAGAAGACTACAAATAAAAAGTGTGAAACAAATAGAAGTACACATATCTCCACGGTTCCAGATCCTTCATTCACTGCAGTTTCTTTCTTCTCCTCGGAAATAAACTTAACTTTAATAGTAAAATACATTTGTGGGTCACCATAATACAGTTTAAAACCCTGGTTCTCGAATGTCTCCCATCTCAAACAACTGGGTTCTTGACCAAGTTGTTCACAGACGGTCTGCATTGTCGAATAAAACTTCACCCGACAACCCTTTCCTACCTGTATGATCAGAAATGCATCTCTCGGGACAGAGGAGAGAACACACAACTATGAGTCAGTTTACAGCGAAATCTCGCAATAACATCTCAGGAAATTGTGCTGTGAATATTTTCGTGTATTTTTGTTTTGGGGAGTCTAGAACAGATGAATTCAATTTACATTATTTTTAATAGGAAAATATGATTTGGTTTTTGAACAAATCACATCTCGAACAGCCTTCCAGAACAAATTAAGTGCAAGAACAGAGGTTCCACTGTATAAGAGAATACGGCGGCTGAAGAGTCAGTTTGTTCCTATACTCAAGGCAAAGTTAGGATAAGGAGCATATTCAGAGCTATGACAAATGGTGACTTATTGAAGCAAAATCTTTAATCTTCAACCTAAATCCAATTTGACAAAATCTGTCAAATTCTATGTTCACTGTTCAAATTGTACTCTTTTAGACAAAATTAGCAACCTTATCTATTCTGCTTAATAACACAGCAGAGTTCCATAAACTGTATCCTGAGGTTCCACAGAGTCCTCTGAATCGAATACAGGTGTGTGCGTTCTGGCAGTGTATACTATACTGGTACATAAAACAAACTGCACACTTCAGACAAGGAATATGATTTTCCCCCATAAGTAACAATAGTCAATAAATACATACCTACTTTTTCTATTTCATTTTTTATTAGTTTTTTTCTGGTAGACAGTACATTTGGGAATTATACTGCACCAGGCATACGAAGATTTCTACCACAGGGACATTTTGTATTCAGAATCCAATATAAATATTTCTAGTCAGACATTTCCATGGCTACAGATATTTGGTTGCTTGATTTATATGCATAGAAAGAAACAGTTGTCATAACTGTAAAAAGCAGTACTTAACAAGTACTTTTAAATGACGGGAGCAGTTTTCCTTTAATATTACAATACTGCTTATTGGTTTGAAAACTAGGTCACCCTACATGATGTTTTGATTTTTGTCAAAGGCATCCTGAGTACTCAATCTGTTTATTCTTTCATTCCTACATTTTTTAGCCTTCTAGTTGAGTTAGGGACCATTAAACCAGAAATCATTTTAGCATTGTAATAAAAAAAAGCTCTGTTAAGGGTTGATTATATACCATAATAATTTTCAGACTTCTTTTTATAAAAAAGTTATCTGGAGGCTCTGAACAGGCACATGCATACTCAGGGAGAAGGGAATAAACATAGAGGATTCTGCTAAAGCACAAAACTTCCTTCTGGTCCTCAATGTCTTCAAATAAATACCAAAAAAATTTTTTTAAATCCCTCACTGTGATTTAAAAAAACATCTCCTGGAGAGTCAGTTTCCAGGAACTCCCACGGGGTTGGAGATCAGTCGTCTGTCTTCCGAGCCAGCCTACAGAAAGTCCAGTTGTGCTCCACTGTGTTCTCATTGGCCCGCTCACTCATGTGATGCACCCGGGTGTTGCGGATCGTGAAGCCTTGTTTTGTGATATATTCCATCAGGTGGACCCGCAGAGAAACTTCCTGGTGATAATCACAGGGTCCAAAAGTGAAGGAAACCTGGCAGTCTCTGGTGTCCATCATGTGCTTATTCCACTTGATAAAATAGTTTGAGATACCTTCTAGTAAGGAATGGACCTTGGTGGTGATGGTTAATTGGGTTATGATGACAGCTACTGGATTGGAGTACTTAGAAAGCTTCCGGGTACTAGATAATTCCACAACTTCTTCAAAAGTATCCATAGGATACAAGGGCTTAGGGTCATTGAGACACTGAATCAAGGGCTCAATCTGATAAAAGTCTGCTTCTTTTCGAAGCAGATCAAATTCCTTAAAATCCAGGGGTAAGGTCAACTCTGAAGTTCTTAAGAAGTTGAGAACGTATCTGAAAAGCGGTCCATCTCGATCGATGAAGTAATTGCCTTGAGGGTCTCGAGCTGTGGGGAAGTCCCCCCCAAACATAGCTCCAAGCATGGAATCCGGGTATCGGGTCAATGTGGTGAGAGACGTTGTGTACAGGTGTCCGCCTACATTTAATGTGACTGGGTCAGTCATCTGAAATTTTTTAAAAATTGATTAGTCACCTGAAATTTTAAAAATCTTAACTTTGACAAATTAAGAAAAATGAGAGCAAGCAAAGCAAAAGATTTCTTCAGGCTATAAGATATTTAGCAATCCCATTATGCAAAACAGCTTTAATTTCAGTGATAAACTCACCTAGACGCAGGTATCTAACATGCTTTCAATAGGGGAAAAAAAAAAAAGGTATAAATCTAATTCATTAAAGATATACTAGGAAACAAGGGCATCACTTCCAAAGCCATTTAATTTCAGGCCCAGCATCTAAGAGAAGTTTCGGTCGAGAGTATATTCTAAAAAGACAAAGACCAAACTAAAATAAACTAAGTTTCTTTCTGCTTAAAAAAGACACTTTTTTTGGCAGGTGTGGCTCAGTTGGCTGAGTGGAGTCCAATGCACTGAGAGGTCACCGGTTCCACTCCCAGTCAGGACACACGCAGGGGTTGTGAGCTCAATCCCCAGTAGGGGATATGCAGGAGGCAGCCGATTGATGTTTCTCTCTTTCACTGATGTTTCTCTCTCCCTCTACCTTCTTCTCACTAAAAAAAAAAAACCTATCTAGCCCAGCCGGTGTGGCTCAGTGGTTGAGCGTTGACCCATGCAATAAAAGGTCGCCAGTTTGATTCCTGGTCAGGGCACATGCCCAGGTTGTGCGCCTGATTCCCAGTGGGAGGCATGCAGGAGACGGCCAATTGATGTTCTCTCTCATCGATGTTCCTATCGTCTCTCCTTCTCCCTTCCTCTCTCTCTAAAATCAATATAGAAAAAAATTTTTTTAAAAACATAAAAATAAATAAAAAAAAGACTCATTTTTCTTAACTTGACATAAAATAGGCAAAAAAATGATTTGATAATGAAAAGAATCTACTTTCAATATGTCCTCTGAATCTACTTTCAAAATTGCTTCATGAAATTTATTTTTAAAATAAAAATTTGTGCAGACCTTATCTTCTCAACTTTTTCATGGCAATAACAGTGCCAAACACTGAGTTAAAATACACAGTTTAATCAACACAATCTCATATATCCAAAAGCTAGAAGTAACTTTCAATTTCAAAATCTGATAGTGTGTTCACTTTTATAACATTAATGTTGCAATCTGGCCTTTAGTTTTGAAAAGGAAGCTTTTCTAAATAATATATACCTTTGGTTTTAGAAATCATATTTAAGAAAAAGTATAGAGACCGACTGACAGACTTCAGGTACTAGGCAAGTAATATATTTCTTACCAAAGTAAAAGAAAAATAGGAAGACACATGCACACGCAAAGACAGAACAGGTTGGAGAAGTTGCACCTTCTCAATGGTTAACTTCTCTAACCACAGGAAATGTCCTCTATACCATTCCCTACTAGACCCTTTTCATAGTCACTGTTCTATGAATGAAGAGTATTAAGAACAAGAAACTTTAAAAATCATGATGTCTCTCAAATAAGTTATTATAAAGTTACTTGGAGAGTCTATATTGAGTTTGCTTACATGAAAACACCAAACAAAACAAAAACACCCCCAAAACTAATTAATCCCATCTAAACTAATTAAGAGGAGTTGCACCAATAATTTTCATTCTTACAAGATGTATTATACTAATAATATATAAGAAGGAGGGAAAGATATACAAAAATAATCTGACACCCTTTGAAATATATCTGCAAAGCCTCTCACCATATAGCCCCAGTCTCCATTATCCATCTGTTCCAGCGCTGCGTCTGGGGAGCCCAGTTCCAGGGAAACTTGGGAAGGAGAAAAAGACATGACAGCACATATAACTATGAAAACATAGAGGAAAGGTTTTTCCACCCCAAAGAGCAGGCAAAATACCAGAAAACTACGTACTTTTGTTCAATTAAAACCTGCTACAGGGCAAAGATCTTAGGGAGAAAGCATTCCTCTAGGGCAGTGATTTTCAACCAGTGTGCTGCAACAATTTTAAAAACATGCAATACCTGACTATTTAGTCAGGGGCACTGACCTCTTTTCCCTTAGAATGTAAAATTTAAAAATTACAATACAATAGTTGTCCGGTGTGAATGAATCAAAATTATACTTTTTCCTTTTGTCAGGTCAGCAAAAAATATAATATACAGTGGGAACCTCGGTTCTTCTTTTTTCAAAAAATGTTTTTATTGATTTTTTTAGGGAGAGAGAGATAAAAACATTGATGTGAGAGAGAAACACCAAGCCCGCAACCCAGGCCTGTGCCCAGCCCGGGAATCAAATCAGGACCTCTCAGTCCATGGGAAGATGCTCAATCCACTGACCCACACTGGCCAGGCGGAACCTCGGCTCTTGAACTTAATTCATTCCAGAAGGCTATTGAAGGAGTGATTTGTTCAAAAACCAAATCACTGCCTGGCCAGTGTGGCTCAGTGGACTGAACATCGTTCCATGGACTGGGAGATCCAGGTTCAATTCCCGGTCAGGGCACATGCCCAGGTTGTGGGCTAAATCCCCAGTGGGGGGTGTGCAGGGGGGACAGCTGATCAATGTTTCTCTTTCACATCAATGTTTCTCTCTCTCCCTTCCTCTCAAAATATTTTTTTCCCATTAGAAATAATGTAAATTGAATGAATCCATTCTAAACCCCCAAAAGCAAAACAAAAAACATGCAATATCTTCACAGCACAATTTCCTGAGATGTTAATAACGAAAGGTTTAGCGGCAAACTGACTCACACTCTCACATTCTCCCCTTTGTCACCTGAAAGACACGTGGCTAATTATACAGGTATTAGTATGAAAGGGTTGAGTCAAAAACCAGATTGTTTGAGATGGGAGACATTCAAGAACCGAGGTTTGACCTGTATTTTTGGTGTGCTACAGAATTTCAGTAAGTAGTTTGTGTGTGCCATGGGATGAAAAAGGTTGAAAATTGCTGCTCTAGGACCTTCTATGGGCACTCTATCCTTCCCACTACATGTACCTAATCTCTACAGAGAAAAGAATTAGAATTTACTATCTTCTCTGATAATTCAATTTTTATAATTTCTATAGAACATTATAATTAACTCTGCAACCTTATCCTTGTGCAAAACTATCATGATCCTTATCAAAAAGGTTGTTTAAGAGAAAGATAAAAAATACACAACAAAACTCTTTCATCAGCATTTCAGCAATACAAACTAAACATCTCAGTAAAAGCATTAATAACTATGAACCTCCAAGACATCAGTATCACTGCAAGAGAAATACTTCAGAATGCTATTTCTTTCATAACTTAAAACAAACTAATTATGCTTTTAATATTGATACACTCCATTTTATACAATAATCAAAACAAATAGAAAATAATTTAAGTGACAAACCATTAGAGTCATTTTGGGGCAAAAAGAACCTTACAAATCTGTTTGAGAGTCACTCAGCCAGTACTTAGGGGGAGCCAGCCTGAAGACATTGATAAACACTCCGATACTAATGATGCCAGTTTGAATTTATCTACAATTCCAAGCCACTTAAACAAATAGTTCCCCAGCTACTTAATTACTTTATCACTACCCTCTCACACACATCATTCCCCAATCAACCAGCAAAGCAAATTTCAAAAGCTCTGAAAATAGACAGTAAGAAACATGGACTTACCAGTATTTAGCCAGGAAAAGCAGTGGCTTCTTTAAATGGTCTTTAAACAGATTCACTTTTCCCACTTTTGGAGGAATCTGGCACACTATTCCCAGAGCAAGCCCTGGCTACAGATCACAAAGGCTCTTTCTCAAAAGGTCACTCAGGCATGTAGAGAACATTTGCATAGCACAGCATGGGCTGAAATCAGAGCCTGAAGCATCTATTTCTCCACCTCAAAAATTCTTCAAAGCAAACAAGCTAAAATGTGGACCAGACAACGCGCAGTCCGTTTTCATTCTCCACACTCAGCAGTTGAATATGGATAGGCCTCCACATGCTACAGGGTAAGAAATGGAACAAATGTCAAATTCAGGGCTGTTGTGACAAGCTTTCATTCCTCTGACTTGCTTCACAAACAGTACTTGAAGTCAGAACCAAAAAACAGGCTTTACCAATTTGTATTATTAGCATCTGATTCAGTCACTGATAAAACAGACAGATAAGTAATGATTTCAAAGACCAGTCATCCAAAAGTTTTGGTAAAATGCCCATCTTTGGCATCTTCCCATCACCCAAAGTATTCATTCCTGACAGCCTCAGAATTAATTTAGTGAGCCCTAGCCAGTTTGGCTCAGCAGTTAGAGCGTGTCTGAGGACCAAAGGGTCTCCAGTTCGATTCCCGGTCAGGGGCACGTACGTGGGTTGCAGGCTGGATCTCCGGTCCTGGTGGAGGTCCTACGGGAGGCGACCAATCGATGTGTCTCTCTCACATCGATGTTTCTCTCTTCCCCTCCCTCCCTTCTACTCTAACACAATTTAATGGGAAAATATTTTTGGTTGAGGATTAACAAAAAAATAATAATAATATTATTAAATATAAATATATAATATTAAATAATAATAATTTAGTCAAACAACATTTACTGTAGGTTAATAAACATGTGTAATGTGGATACACAGAAACAGGAAAGATACAATCCTTGCCCTCATGGAGCTTTCAATCTATGAAGAAAGGCAACATGCAACACCTGGAGTGCACAACAGAATTCAAAAGTGCTCTGTAACAGATAGACTGGCAGGGACCGTCTGGAAGAAAGCCAGTTCCAAATAGACAAACGGAGGGCTTCTGGGAAGAACTTGCTCAGTAGGCCTCTGCAGGAATAGCTGGCCAACCTGAGAAGGGATTCTAGAATGAAGAAACGTTTGAAGTAAAAAGGGAGGGACCTTTCTCCCCCACATACAACATTCCTGATACAGCAAGCAGTGCATTAATTAGTACCCCCATTTTATAGATGCAAAATAGAAAAACAGCAGACAGTGACTTGCTCTAGGCCCCACAGCCGGAAAGTAACTAATTAGGAAACTGGGTTTTCTGATGCCTAGTTGAGATCTTTCCATAAATCCCCTCCTTAGGTGGAAATTGATGGAATAGAAGCCAAGAAACAAGAAACTGAAAGGATTAACTTTAGACCCCCTGCAGCTATCTATTAACCCTATCTACCCGTACAGTTTTGTACAGTTTTATTTACAAATGTAACAGTCACTCAGTCTAAGTGAGCAGTCATAATGGGTTTATGAAAATTCCCCTGAGGCAAACTATCAAGAACCTACTCACTAGCTAATTGAAGGCTGCTGTCCTGTCTATAAGTGAAGCTCTATTACATGAATGTCCAAATGGTTAAAGGAGAAATAGGGACCAAAGACAAGGAAATAAAACAGACATCGTCAATGTTACAGCTGTTATACAAGGTCTGTCCACTACTAATTCTCCTCTCCCTTTTTCTACTGCTAAAGCAAAACAAGATAGCTTCTTGAGCAATCATACAAAGAAAATTAGATGATGCCTCTGTATCTGTTCCACAGCAAAAGCCAAGGTTCTGTTCCAGTACAAAGATGAAATGAAACCTCAAGCTTAATAATTCAGGAAAGCAATTATGGGAATCTCTATAAGCCCATGTTTCTTAAAAAGCGCCCAAACGCTTCCTTACACTTATGTACAAGATACAACAAAATAGCCCAGGCCGGTTTGGCTCAGCAGTTAGAGCGTCGTCCTGCGGTCCAGAGAGACCTGGGTTTGGTTCCCGCTAAGGGCACGTACCTTGGTTGCAGTTTATCCCCGGCCCTGGTTGGGTCGTGTGGGTGGCAAAGATGTGTCCCTTTCAAGTAGATGTTTCTCTCTCTCTCTCTCCCTCCCACTCTATTTGAACAAAATATCGGGGGGGAATGTCCTCGGGTGAGGATAAAATAAAGATACAACTAAATAAAATAAAGTTACTATTAGTCACTTCCAATAACTAAACTATCCCCCCCCCAAAATCAAATTGTTCACTAAAGAGCTCTAAAGAAAAAAATATTGATTAGTTCATATTTTATCTCTACACCTTACTTCTAAATATCCTCTATGGAGATGCTCAGAGATAGCAAGAAACAAACCAAACAATGCTGGAAGACAGATTCCTGGTCTTCCGATAGCTGGATAGTCAGTCTCTGAATTGATGACTATTAGGAACATCTCAGAGACAATGCAGATGCATGAAACAGAACATAATCCAAAAGAAGTTCCACAATAGCTTCAATTTCTTCTAAATATTTTCCAGAGCTGCTAACAATTAGAAAATTATTTATTTTCTTTTCATCTTCTCTCCCTTCTGGCAGTCTCCCGTGTGCTTAATGAGAAGCTAAATGACTACAAGACAAGACAGCAGAAGGAAGATCTTGAAATGGATATCAAATGGGCTTGTTTTATTTGACTAAGAAAAAGAAAAACCTAATATTTCAGAAAGTTTGCCATGAATGGAGATTATGAGGGTAACAATGAAAAAACAGTTCCTTTAAAGTGACCTGCCTTATTAAAGATCATTTTAAACAACAGTGACTGCAACAAGCACAGTCATAAATCTCAAAGAAAGGCTCCAGATCCTGTAAAATTAGTGCACCTGGAAAAATCTGACCTTTGGCCCAAATAAAATTCCTGTGTCAACTGGATGACCATTCCCCAAAACTATAAAACAGTACTGAAAATTCACCCATGTTTAAGCTTCAAAGGTTTTATGACTAATGTATAAATTCTGTTAGCAAATAATTAAGGAAAATGCTGAAGAATTTATAAAAGCCTTAAGAGAACTTGCTAAGAATTTTCTAAAGCAGCAAATCTGGAAAATGCACAATTAAACAAGTTAATTCCTCAAAGAAAACCCTAAGAACCCCTGAAAGCCATTTTCCTCACCACTGCAGAATTGCAATTACAGGCTTTGTGGTTATGATGAACTAATTTAACACAAATATTCTGGGTTTGTCATTTCAGGTACAGACTAAGAATTCTCTGGGGCAAAAGCTCTATTCCTATATAACAACCTATACATTGCAATACACACTAACCTCCAAACTGGAATAAATAATAAAAAACTATAGCTACTGCCTTTCAAAAGTTTCCAGGGAGGCCTTTTAAAATGCCTTTCTACTGAAATCTTTGTGTCTGGCATTCAGAAAAGAAGACTCAATAAATTCCATCTATACATACCTTCAAATTACCTTTGTACTGAATTTCTCTGTGGTTGAAACGTGGGAGTTTGAAAGTGAAATCCTTTTTATAGTAACTAGTTCAACGACATCTAAAGGAGTCTTTTGGGTTAATGTTCACATACAGGCTGGCACAAGTAGCCAGGCGCACAAGGAGAATGTGATTTCGATGCTAGGTTATCATCCTTAACTATACCACTAAAGGAATGGATTGTTTTTCCCTAAAACGAGTTCTTTCTTCTTTCTCTTCTCTCCACATGGTCTAGAAGGCTCTGCTCTCTAAGTTGAAAACTGAGCTTAATACTAAAAAGCTGTCACAAAATCATTAAATTCTTCTTACCCTCATTCAGTTTCTACAGGATGAAACAGGATAATACTACCTTCCCCAAAGTAGTAATACCACTTAAGCACAATACAAAGGCAACAAGTGACCTACAAGGTTACATGAGGACTAAGGTTCTGAAATCACATGCAGGCCAGTGCAGAGGAAAGAGGATGGCTGAGGATCTGTATCCCAATTCTGCTCCAATTCTACTTATGAAGCCCTGATTACATCACTCTTTATGTCCAGCTGCTTCTTTGCAGGAAAGAAGAAAACAAGCGAGATTATGAATAGAAACCCATTTATAAACTGGCAAGTATTAAACAAATATAAAAATACTAGTGGCAGTATAAACAAAATTTCAGTGGTAAATTGAGAAACTTGAGAATGTGAACACAAGTAATTTAGAGCACTAGCATGAAGACAGGGCAGATATTGAAGAGAAGACCTCTTCATTTGCTTCCAGTCTCCCCGGGCCCCCTTTCCCGGGAGCTCCAGACCGGAGAACTTCAGGTACAGGGGAGCATCCTGCTTTTACAAAGACCGTCAGACATTTGAGGTCTTGATCACAAAAGGAACTTCTCAAAGCATGACTCAGGATTATCTCCAAGGTAAAGATCAATCCAAATGAATATGTGTATTCCATATTAAATAGACTCCAAATACCAAGATCAAAGACACATTGAGGGATTCGTAGAAAGATGCACCCTAGGATTCCTTTATGCAGTAATGCCTTGGTTTAAATATGATCTATGAAAATTCAAAACACACAAACCTTAGGAACGGCATCTATGACCATCCTGACCACTCAATCCTTAATATCTAGGGCATTATGCAAAATGAAGTATTAGTATGAACTGACGGTTCTCAACCAAAGAGCAAGCTCTCTCTCCCTACCAACCCTGTAGGTAAAAAGCGTTTCCTTTTCCTAGATACACATTTGTTCATTTGAAAACACCAGGCCTGTGCTAAACACTGAGCCCTAGCTTCTTTCCTGTCCTGGAGTCATTCATGTACTTGGGCATTTGTGACAGCAAGGTGAGCATGCCAAGGGGAAAAGGTCAGGGTACCCCAAACATTCTTAGCCAAACCAGGTCACCCCCGGGTCTCTCTGCACCCAAACCTCACTAATTACAAAGTCTTAAAGTTGGATTTATCAACTTGTTCTAGAACTGGTACACTTGAACAGAAACTTGACAACTTCAGCAGAATATCCAAACAGGATCTGTTTCGTTTCTCCGTCCCACCCGCAGCCGGCCCATCACCGTCAGCCCAGCAGGTGCTCAGGGCCCCCCACGACCACGCCATGCATCACCTCTGCCATCACGCCTCGGACAGGCCGTGACACACACACATCTGAGCATATAAAGCTCGGCTGCAGGCAGTGTCCCGGGGGCAGAACCTCCCCTGAGGCGGGGCTCAGCGCTCTACCGTGGGCTTTAAATTAGGGCAAACGGTGCCTAATAAGCACCGCCCCCCGAAACAATCATTTCCGAGCACATGCGAGGCGGTTGCCCCGCAGATGAAGTCCCCACACCCCGCCCGGCCCCGGCGCGGGACGGGAGATGCTCCGGGCCCGGCGGGGGGCGCGCACCGGAGCCCGAGCCCCGATCCGCCGCAACCGCAGTCCGGCCGGGCGGGCCCCGGCACCCCCGCCCAAGCCCGGCTCCTCGGCCGCGGGCAGCCCGCCGCGGGCCCGTGCCAGCCCCGGAGCGCGCCGCCCGGGCTCCCCGCGGTCCCCTCGGCGCGGCCCCGCCGCCGCCCGCCTCCCCTCAGCGCGCTCGCCCGGCCGCCCCGCGCGGGCTCCTCCTTGTGCCCGGCCCTCCCGAGCCCCGGACCCCGGGCCCGCCCCCACTCACTGCAAGGCGGCGGCGGCGGCCGGGAGACGCCGGCGGCCGGAGAGCGCGAGCGCGAGGACGAGCGGGCCCGCGCCCGGCGGCGGCGGCGGCAGAGGGGACGACTGAGCCCGCGCCCGGAGTTGCGGCTCTAGCCGCCCGGCGCGGGAGGTGCCTCCCAGCACGGCCGCGGCGCCACGAGCACGGGCGCCCCCTAATGGCGGCGCGCCGGAGGCCGGGGGGCCGGGGCGGCAGGCACTCAGTTGGGCTCCGCCAGGCCGCACGGTCCAGCGGGCGCCGCCGCAGCCCTTCAGCCCCAGTCCCGCCCCGAGGCCCCGCCCCGAAACCCGAGGCCCCGCCCCGGCCCGCCCCTGTGTCCTGCCTCCGCCTGCAATTTGGGATCAGCCCAGGCCTCCCGCAGCCTCCACTGTGTGTGTCCTCAGACCCTAGGGTCCCCCCAGCTGTTTCTGTCGTCTTCTCACGAACATGTACGGGGTCCCGACCGCATGCCAGGCCCAGGGGGTACAGCGGCCACCATGGAGCGGGTCCTACACAGAGGAGAAAACGACAAGACCCAAGGAAACAGCCAGTGGACAAAATCATGACAAGTTACGTGTTGGGAGGGGCATGATCAAAGGAATTAGATGGAGAACAACGGAGGGACCGCTGCTTCAGATGCAATGGACACGCAAGACCTGGACACTGGGCTTGCGGCAGAGAACCTCCTGGCCTTGCCCTCCGTGGGGGAGGCAACTCTAATAAGATCACCTAACAGGTCTGGCGGGTAGGGTAGGGAAGGGCAGCCAGGCCTGAAGGGTCAACATGGGCAGCCAGATGGGAAGAAGGGCAGGGCTGACCTCAGCAGAAAAGAACAACCGGTGCAAAGTCTCTGAGGCCCGAGTCTGGGCACCCGTGTTGTCCTCATTTCTCCAGGAAGGAACCGAAGGCTGCAGAAGGTGGCGAATTACGTAAAGGTCTCAGACCTAACTGGTCTCCAGGAATAAACTCCTTCAGAATCCCATTCGCTTGAGCAAACCACATCTCTGTCCCCTTCCTGGGACGGGTATATATGTTGATTTTGCCATTTCTCTTTCTCCACCAGGGTAACCACTAGCTTCAGAAACTCGCCTGTGTTTCATGTGTGCACGTGCTTGAGCTGGCTCTGAGGTTTAACAGTTTTTTTTATTTATTGATTTTAGAGAGAGGGAAAGGGAGAGAGAGAGAAACATCGAAGAGAGAGAACATAGAACGGCCGCCTCCTGCATGCTCCGCACTGGGGATTTAGCCCACAACCTGGGCATGTGCCCTGACCTGGAATCCAACCCGTGACCTCTTGGTGCTTGGGTCGACGCTCAACCACTGAGCCACAAGGGCCAGGCGAGGTTTAACGTTTTATCGTACGATTATCACAGTCATATCTGATACTTGGTTTCTCTTTGAAAACTCAAATTGATAGGTTAAATGAGTGACATGCTTCATCAGTATAATTGAATGGTACATTATATTCAAAAAGACTAGGTGAGTTTACAGGAACATGTGTGAGAAAGTAGGCAGTACACAAAATGGCATATATGATCGAATCCTAATTTTCTTTTTAAAAACAAATATACACAAATATTTTGAAGGAAAACAGCAAATCATCGATCATTGTTATCTAGGTAGTAGGATAGGAGTGGAATGTTAGTGGCATTACTTCTTAATGTCCTTCTGAATTTTCTACATTTTCTAGATTCAATCTTAAATTTATAATCAGAAAAATATTTTTTAAGTCAGAATTTTGGGAGGTGTTTTGCTTTACTTTTGTTTGTTGTTGTTGTTTTAAACAAAAGAAAGACAATACCCAAATTATCCAATGCTCAGATCTCTAGGATTTGGTGCCACTGAGAAATCCAGATGCCCCTGGCTTACTGGTGTCCTTCAAAGAGTCTCTTCCCTTCTCAGAGCTTCTATTTCCCCAACTAGAAACTGAAAGGAATTAACTTTGTCAGTGGTTTTCACAGAACTATTCTTACATATCTTTCAAAGTTTTTATTGCTATTATAAATTATATTTTCAAATTTTATAATGTATTGATTGATGGTTATTGAAATGTGGTTGGTTTGTATATAATAATCTTATATTTTGCAAACTTGAACTTTTTTAGTTTTAAGTTCATAGGTTTTTTTGAATTTTCTGTGTAAATAATCATTGAGTCTTCAAGTAATGACAGTGTAATATCTACTGTCTTTATTTTATTTCCTTTTCCTTGTTCTACTGCACTGACTAAAATCTCCAACACAGTGTTGAATTGCAGTGATAATAGTGGACATTTCTATCTTGTTCTTGACAGTTTCTAACATGTCACCATTGATTATGGTGTTTGTTGTATTTTATACTCTTTATTGGGGTAAGGAAGCACTATTCTGCTGTTATAAATGTATGTTGAAATGTATCAAAATGTGGGATTTTTCACCCTAATGTAATGTATTACAGTCATGGATTTTATTACATTAAACCATCCATGCATTCCTGGAATAAACTTACTTTGATGATATATTATTGTTTTAATATAGTACTGGATGCTGTTTGCTAATATTTTATTTAGGGTTTTTTTTTTTTATCCTCACACAAGGACATTTTTCCATTTTTTGTTCAGATAGAGTGGGAGAGAGAGAGAAACATTGACGTGAAAGGGACACATAGAGTGGTTGTCACCCGCACAACCCAACCAGGGCCAGGGACAAACTGCAACCGAGGTATGTGCCCTTAGTGGGAACCGAACCCAGGTCTCTCCGGACCGCAGGCCGACACTAACCTCTAAGACAAACGGGCCAGGGCTTTATTTAGGGTTTTTATGTCCATATTTATGAATGCAATATGTTTACTATTTCTTCTCTTACTCTCTCCTTGTCTGGTTTTGCTATTAAAATTTCATAAGACTCATAAAATGAATTAAGGAATGGGTGTGTATTCACCAGAGCAGCTTCTGTAAAACTGGGGTTTTCTGTAGTTTGATTTTCTACATGTTTCTCCTATAAAACATCTTGGTTTAGGGTTCGAGGGTGGAAAGCATTTATACTGACACTCCAATGCACAACATTCAGTCTGGCCTCAGGGACCACCTTTCCA